TCTCAGTGGTCCCTGGACGATTGTCGTCTTCCTCTTTATGTGCATGATATGGAAACGCAAGAGGAGTTTGTTGGTTCCATAAAAGTGGCGTATTCATGTATTCAGCGCAGCCATTCCTCAATATGCAACCCAGCAGACCGGATTAGCCAGCCCAATCAGGTGACGGTAAAGTTGCTGGAATATCAGCTTGATGCTATTCGATGGATGCTAACCCGAGAGGCTGGTGTTAACAGCCCAGTTGACTCTAAGTGGATAAAGTCATTTTTTGTCCCTGTGACAACGGCCAATGCGGAAGACGGTCCGTTGTATTTCTCCATCGTAACTGGACAGTAAGTTTATACACCTTAGCGATTTATTTATATTTTTTAAACAATGTCAATCTTGACTTTTACCCCATTTCGTGAGCTACACTGACTTATAACGAAGTCACTTTTATACAGTCTGACGGCCCGCTTCTGATCACGTTTGATGCAGTCACCTGCTGAATTTATGAAACTCCTTTTTTTGTATATGGTCGCCATTTAGCTTGCAGTCCAAATTAAAGATATTAAGCACGTGGCCCTATTTTACCTATGAATCAAATACCGTTATGTATCTATTTTTCTCCCTGCACATTCATTTAGAAGCACTTTCAACAGTCCTTCTTCTCCCTAGCCCAAATCATTTAATACTAAAACCAGAATTTCCCGTCAACTGTACTCTCTTTTCCATGCTCTATTGTCCCCTTCTTTGCTTCTTCGCCATGCATCAGAATTCTTTGCGCAGCTTGCCGCATATTGCTATATAAGATCCCAGCTAAGTTTCAATCAGTGTATCCGCCAGAAGTCTAAATTTTTCTTTGTTACGACACGGCCGTCAGTGGACTGATCCACGACTGTTTTTCACCTGTGTTTTGAAACTTGGGGCCAAATCTCCCATCATTGAACCGGACCGCCCACATTGGCCGACTGTCGGTGGTCGTATGGAGTTACCTTTTATTTGGGAAGCGTCGTTTTGCCCACACTTATCTGAATCAGTGAGATGGCGGCCATGGTAATGCAACTTTGCGCAGGTTGTGTTGTCTCGACTAGGATATTGGACATATCCCTACCTCTGTAACATTCCTGATCCAATTCTCTTTTGAAGAACTAATGGAAAAGGACCACTAGGAGGTGTATGTTCCCACAGGTACAATCAGCTCCAGGCTTGCGCGCGCATCAGTCCACTAGGATATGGACGTGTGCGAATAAGTGTCTTGCGAGCGATAGCGTGTAGCAGCTTGGGAAATTGATTTGGTGTTTATGGAGTCCGTGAGGGTCACTGATTAGCTGTCATAAAGACTGAATATGTCCATGTCCAGAAGCCTTTATAACGTGATTCCCAGTGTGTCCTATGTGTCAGGGGCGGTAGACTTGTACGTACTTAGGCTCTACGTCACTTACCCCTCGGGCGGAACAAAGTGGAAGGTGGAGTATGGCCTACGACGAATTGATTAATTGGATCTAGTATATCTGCGATCATTAGAATATGTCTTGATGAAGATAGTAACTTCTGGGATCTGAGATAAGGCTGATGCTACCGCCTGTGCATCATCCAGCATTGCTGTCGTGATCTCGGGTATGGGAGGTAGCCCTTCGGGTTAAAGCCACTTACGAGTCTCCACTTCCCCACAAGTCAAAACCATAGCACACAAAGGTGAACTTTTTGTGAAACCATCCGTGATTATTACTATGCCACGGACTCATACAGCGCATTGTCACAGGCAGAGCCCCATTGAGGTTACCAGATACACTATTCACGAAAAATTTCGTACTTGGTCGAAGGAAATTGCAATACGTACATGATTATTTAGTGACGCACATATCCCCAAAATACAATAAAATTTCTCCGACCGAAAACCGTTCAGGATAGAAGAACCCTTCTAATGGTATGTGCTTACTCACGCAGTGCGGTTCATCTGATGTTATTTTTCAATAGGGCGTTATATGGCCACTGCTTATCCCACTCAGTCTGGTGTAATTTGCGGACCAATTGCTCTTTATTTTCGCAGTGCAAAAATGCGGCAACACGGGTGCTAGATGAGGACAGGGCGGACGTTATTTAGAATGTGTTCCCATAACAAATGCTGAACATGGGGGTGACGTGGAGAAGGGGGGGGTGTAGTGGCAGTCCTGCGCACAGGCTCACCTGCGCCTGATGCCACATCCGGTCTTTTGGACTTTCGCGTGACATTAGGTCCAGATAGATGAGGGAGAACAGAGAGCGCGTTAATTGTGGTGCAAGTCCACTATCACTTTAATCAAATTCACGTGCAAGGCACCGTCCCAGCGTCCATTCTACTGTGGGGTACACGCTAGGAATATTTTGACTTGACGGTCGAACTGTTATGACATGCAAGACCGTATCCAAAATCGTACATCCCAATGATTGTTGAGTCAGACTCTTGTGCCAGTAAAAGGTTTTACTGTCATACTGTCTCGGAGATGAGACAGATTGCAAAAAAAATCGAACCCTGGCTGGTTTAGGATGCAAACACATAAATGCATCATAAATCTGAAAGATAATGAGCGATCAATCAAGTGATAGTGGCATCTGTAACAAAGGGAAACTTTCGGTGTTGGCATGCCTGATAGACTGCTCAAACGTTTTATTTGGAATAAAGCGGCTGAGTTGTCCCGATGGCATCTCGTCCATTCGTAACTAGGTGTCTGTAAACTTCCTTTCATACCTGTGGTCCGGATGTGTGTCAGAAAAAATAGACCGGGGTTTTGTGTCGATTGAGCTCTGTCAAGTCTGGCGTTTACTCTGCCCTTGCGTTGAGATCACTAAGTTGTTGCGGCTTTGGCATTGAATGTACTCAAAGTGCAAAAATAGCCTACGACGATAACTGTCCTTGTCGTGCCTAAAATGAATTAGATTCCAAGACAACTGTAAAAAGTGCTTGTATCGAACTTCGCTACCTTTACTGTTACACTGATATCAGGAGTGGGATCAGGATGCATCTGGTATATTTATGCACGAGTCTTTTATGGTGGTTACCAGTTATTCTCTTTACGCATCTTTTCCTCCCTAAAGCCATACGACTTCAAGACCTGATTTACTGTTAGTTTTTTTATGACGATTTTTTGCTAGGCCTCATTTCCGAAATCTCGGCATTCCACGTTAACTTGGTTATTTACTCTTCAATCCACATCAAGTTTTGTCAAGGCTGTGCCGGATCTCGACCCGTCCTCTTGCCTCGGTGGCATTCTCGCGGATGAAATGGGGCTGGGAAAAACGTTGGAGATAATCTCACTCATCCTCCTTCATCCCTTCACCGTCCGTGTTGATGTCTTAGGCCGATTATATAGCCTCTCCAAGAATGAGGATCTACCTTCAGACTGCGTTGCTTTCAGTGTCGGCGATTGCATCGGTATTCCGATAGAAAGCGTGTTAACAAAGGAAGTTCACGCCAGCGCTGAGAGCTATGACTCAACTGAACCCATGGCTGAAAGCTGCGACGATGAGAACTTGCGTTGCCCATGTGGTGGGGTTCCGGAAACGGCTCACCTCCAGAGAGTTTCCTGCACGAATTGCTCTTCTCCATTCCAACAGCACGCGGCCTGTGTTCAGTACGAGCCGGTCATATATCAGCCTGATGGACTGCCAATATATTGCAACTACATTTGTCCACATTGTTGGTCTGAGGTAAGCACTTCACTTCTCCTCGTCTCTTACCCTATAGATTCAAGAACTTGACTCTGTTTCTTCCTCCTAGCTTAGAGTACATTCCAAGGCAACACTGATTGTGTCTCCGGATCACATTTTTCGTCAATGGCAGGACGAGTTGTTGGATCATGTTGATTTAAAAAACATGTCAATTGTGGTGAGTCCTATTTCCTGGACCATTTTTCTTGCTTCACTGGTATAGCTCTCGAGAAACCAGACTGTTACTCTCTTTATAGCCGAATAATCTAAAAATGCATAGTTTAGGGACTGTTAACCGTTAGATTCTAAAACTACATGGTCAAGTCCATCCCTCTCATCAAACAATGTTTTCACATTTGCACATGACGTATGTCATTTCTGACGTCTCAATAGTTGCCAGGAGCATAGTTCTGTCGACCACTGTGGTACTGTCCTTCCTACGCGAGTAGCTCCGTATGTGAGCGAATCCTTTACATTACCTTTGTGGACTTTTCAATTGACCAACAAATTTATGCAGTTAAAATGTACATGACACCCATCTTAATTTCGTAAATTACACTATATCAACACTAGTTACTCTTAAGTCAGAAATTACGCTGCCCTGTGGAGAAAACCTTAACACACCGGTACACCAGCATAACGCTCTTTTAGGTAGTCATCCAGGCATAATCTCTACTAATGCTTCCTCTCTTCCAACCTCGCCTTTCTTATTTTACTTGGCCTTGTGTCCTTCTTGTGGTGGGAGCTTATAGAGTGCCATCATATTGATTATGGTGGCGGAAGTGATTATATTGGTGATGACAAATATGACCAGGACAATGACGATGACGAATAAGCTCTTCTGTGTACAAACCATTCTACGCCACGAATAGCATGCTTCATGAGTTGAACTATTTTCATTTTTGCTGATATCTCTACGAGAGCACCTACTGCCCTATTCCCCCACCCCTGACCTCAGATTTACAATGGCATTGACATGCCACCTACACGACTACTTCAAGTTGATGGTTCTCGCTGGCCCTCCGGAAGAAGGCAGGCACGGCAACGTTCTTCGCGTAGCGGTGACCTCCCGGGACAGCCTGAAGAAGAATCCGAATTCCGTCCTGGTTTTGTCCAACCTGCCTTTCTGGCCGCTGCCGACATTGTTCTTACCACCTATTCCATCGTCCAGCGTGAACTGGGCTGGGCGAGTGTCTCGGTGGAACAGAGGACGGGTCTGGGACATCGGCCACATCTTCGTACAGCCCAGCGCTACCTCACGACACCCAGCCCGCTGACCTGCGTTATCTGGTGGCGGGTATGTTTCTTTTTGACCTCGGCACAAAGCCGACTGTGGGTCACCTAACGACCTTAAAGTTTCATTTTTACAACGCTATGAAAAACTGAAGTATTTCAGCTTCTTACAGTCGTGTTTAATCCTTTTCATCCGACGTTTGTGGACAAATGTGCTAACGTGGAACGAAGAATTAAGTTCCTTTTCTAGTACAGACACGGAGCTCTCAGCCAATGTCAAGGACGCGTTTGGCGTAGTCTATACTAAAGTCGGTCTCCAAACCCCTTGTGTGAAAACCCAGTTCCTTGTGCAGCGCCAGGTCGCGTGTAGCACATATAGAAGGAAGTAGTCATATGCTATTAAAGATTTCCGTCAGGGGGGTTGCAATTCAGTATTTGGATGGACTGTGTCATACGTTTGTGGGGAGAAACACCGCCGATGCCAAAGTAGTAAAACCAAACATACTTACTACTGCGCAATAAGTAGGCAGTTATGCAATGTGAGCGTAGTGAACCCGAAACTAGATTGTCACCGAAGGTCTCTTAAGCTCTATCGGCCACTTACTCCCACCCACAGCATTAGATGGTTGATCCGCTCAGGCACTGCACCAGTAAGCGAGAGAAAGAGAGGCCGCTTCCAGGTCCTCCGTCTACACGGTAATCTGCGAATATTCCTCGCTATAACCAATACGGCGCGCTTTTAAACTATCTCGATGTATTTAAAGTCGTGCCTTGAAATGTTGCCAACTCAGTCTGCCTCTCAGGACAAAAAGTCAGACTGCGACCGTTCCTTCTTACTGTAG